AAGACTCGTTGGGAAGTTTATCTACTAGCACATACAAGACGTGACATCAACTTTGCATGAGTACAGTAAATCAGTTCATGAATCAGCTAACTGAGGAATACACGAGACCTGTGTATAGAATTCTAAGATATCTTAAAAAGATTCCTGGACAAGAGTTGTTCTTTTAAAAGACAAATAGAAGAGATGTTGAAATTTACACTGATACAGATTGGGCAGGCTCTACAAATGAGAGAAGATCTACATCAAGATATTGTACTTACGTTTGGGGGAACCTGGTCAACTAGCGAAGTAAGAAACAGTCAATTGTATCTCACAACAGTGCAGAATCTGAATTTAGGGCCCTTACTCATGGAATATGTGAAGGTATGTGGTTAAAGAGAACACTTGTCGAATTAAAGGCTCCTAACAACGTACCTATGAAGGTGTAGTGCGACAATCAATCAACCATCCATATGGCCAAGAACCCCGTACATCATGACAGAACCAAACATGTGGAGATCGATCGTCATTTTATCAAAGAGAAATTAGAAAATGGAACTATAACACTGATGCACATTTCAATCAGTCAACAGATTGCGCACGTTCTAACGAAAGCTCTACCTAAAAGAACCTTCGATGATATAATATCCAATCTAGATTTACTCAACATATATAATTTGAGGGGGAGTGTAAAAAATAAGAAGAAATTAGGTTGTATATTTTGTGTTTCTTTTTTATTAGCTATATACGGAGGAAGTTACAAACAGATTTCCTCCTCCCCATAAAATTGTTAGAATCTTACTAGAATTTGTTGGGTTTTTTAGCATTTAGAGTGTATAAATATCCATCATTCATGATGAAAAGAATAGATGAGAAGCAACATTTCCTCTCAAATTTCTTCACATTTATTAATATATAGGAGTAACATACATACATATTTTTAATAAATCCAATAAAAGGGGTAATATAGTCATTTACAGCTTACTAAAATTTTAATCCAACCTCTAACAATATGGAAACACATAGCATAATGGGATTATAATAATTTATCACTAATTATGGACCAAACATCAGAATATAACGTAAATTCTATTACAACATTATTCTATTACTATTGAATAGATATTACATCCTAATTTTATTTCATTTAGCCAACATAACATGCTATCAGAGAAGAATGAAGCGATGATTACCACGAAGCAATTTAGCCAGTATTAATTTTGAGAACCAAGTTGTTAGAATTTTGGATGAGTTGATTGGGAGTATAGTCCTAGGTATGATACTTCTGTTGTTTTGTTATAATTTGACCAGATGACTCTACCCTCTAGCATATGCGAGCCAAGCAGCGTGAAGCTCCACAAAATGAAGTTGTTGAGGAGGATTAAAATATGCATTGATTTTAGCAAACATTGCATTCTTGGGAAACAAAATAAGATAAGCTCAAAAGTAAGGACACATTAAGAGTACATACATGCAGATAGTAAGTAGTCAAGCCAAGACACCAGCAAAAGGTGGAGCTAGATACTTCAGAAGTCCCATTATGATTTTTTCCAGAAAAGTTTGGATTTATTTCACGTGAGAAAAGTCTGAAGTAGTCTCACTTCAAACAATTGAAAACCAAGGCTGAATGACATACAGAAAAACACGTTAAATATGTCGGGTCTGACAACAAAGGGGAGTAATAAAGTCAAGAATCTTTCGACTTTTGGCAAGAAAGAAGGACATGATGCAATTCATTGCACTTGCAGAAAGAATGAACAAAACATTACTTGAAAGCGCCAGGACATGAGACAAAGCAGCTAACACAGCCGGCTCCGTTGATAACAGGTCATGTTCGCCAAAATTAAAATAACGAAAGGTAGCTAACGAAGTATAGATAGATAAAAAAGATGGACTATTATAAAATTAGAACATTTTGTTGCCCAGCCTATGCAAATATCCCAGTGAATTGCAGTTTAAATCGGATGTCAACTCAAGAAAATGCATCTTTGAGAATTAACCAAAGAGAAGTAAAGATTACAAAATGTTGGATCCAAAAGAAGGGAAGATGATGGTTAGCAGAGATCTAAACTTTGATGGAACAAAGCTAAAGCAAAATCCTGCTCATGAAGATGTTTCTTCAATGTACAAGGTCCCAAAATACAGGTGGAGTTAAGTGCTTTAGGAAAATCATCTCAAACAACATATCAGTCAAATGACGATAATAGTGACACCCAGTTTTCTTAGATTGAATAGAAACAGACCCGATTTCACAACATTGCCATTGGAAGACGACCTAGACACATCCTATGAGGTATGCCGATGAAACATCTTTTGCTCTATTAACTAGTTCTGAAGAACTTTGTTCCTTTCAGGAAGCAATTTCCATTCCAGAGAAAGACTTAGATGGAACCTATGTTTGAAGAGGTGGAGACTCTACACAAAAACCAATCATGGGAGTTAGATGAACTTCAAGACAAAAAGGGACATTGAAGTCTCTACACAAAGCCAATCATGGGAGTGAGATGAACTTTCAGGAGGAAAAGGAAAGTAGATGCAAGTTAATATATAAAATGGAGGGAGCCATAAAAAGGGAAAGTCACAGATCCAAAGCAAGATTAGTTGCAAAAGAGTACTCACAAAAAGAAGGGATAAACTAAAATAAGTATTCTCTCCCATTGTAAGGCATACTTCCATTAGGTTTTTTAGGCCTTGAATAGCTCAATTTTATTTACAACTAGAGTAGCTAGATGTAAAAGTCACCTTTCTACATAGCAAGTTGAAAGAGCAATATACATGGGAGAGCCAAGGGGTTTAAAAGAAGCTTGGGAAAAAAAGACTGTTTGCGAGCTCAGAAATCAATGTATATATTGAAGCAATCCTCTATGTTTAACATATATGACGAGTATCAGCTTCACCCGCTTTGACTATGATTGTTGTCTATCTTAAGGTTTTGAATAAATGAGCATATATTTTCTATTAATTGATGTTGATGATCTGTTGATTGTTTCCGGCACATAGCGATATGAACAACCTTAAACCTTCAGTAAGCAAAGACATGAAAGAAGATTTCCATCTCTACATAGATATCTATAGAGACAAGAAGATTTGGGTCTCATAAGAAGGTACTGGAGAGGTTTGGCATGGACAATGCAAATCAAGTTTGTACCCCATTGCAGATCACTTCAAGCTGTCAAGTTTACAGTGTCCCAAACAGATGAGGATGTGGAATTGACATCAAAGATCCGTTACGCTAATACGATCAGATGTTCAATGTATAAAATGGTGTGCCTGGCTAGACCTAATGCACACAATTACTGCAGTTAGCAAATTCATGGTTAATCCGTGTAAGAAAACTTAACAAGCCATCAAAGGAGTTCTTAGGTATTTGAGAGATACATGCGATTATGGTATTTGTTGCATCACTACACAGGTTTTTTTTTGGGATATGAAGATGAAGATTATGCAGGTGATTTTGATATTAGAAAATCCATCACGAGATTGTTTACATTAGCAAATGGCCCAACAAGTTGGAGGTTACATTGTTAAATGTTATTGTTACATCAACAACAGAGGTAGAGTATATACTAACCACACGTTGCAGAAAATGTGTTATGGTTTAGAGGATTGGTTTAAGCTATGGGATTAGTACAGCAAACTCTTCAACTACATAGCAATAGTTTTTAAAAATTAAAGATAAAAAATCATCTCTAATCCTATAGCAATAGTCAATTATATTTGTTATAAATAATCACGTCTGCCATGCTCGTACCAAGGACATAGACGTGTTCTCACAAAATTAGGGAATCAATAACTTTAGGTGACATTTCATTATTGAGAGTGGGTACAGAGAATAATGCAGCAAATGTATTACTAAAGGTGCAACCTATGACGTTCAAACATTGTCTGAACTTGCTTGATGTTGCTTGCTTTAGAGTATTGCCAAGGCAGGCCCAAAGGTGAAGGATTGGATCTTTGAGTTTCTTCAAAACTCATAAATATTTATGAAGGTGGAGAATGTTGATTTCTGACTCATTCAAATGATTTAATGCGTGTATTTAGGTCCTTGTAAAAGGAGGGGTTCCTAGAGGTGCAGAGGGAAAACTCTTGCAGTACAGTATAATATTTTTTGGACTTTGGGTGATTTTCTATTATAGAAGCATTCTTGTAAAATTGAGTTTTTTTCCCTATATATAGAAACAATGCTAGTCGAGAAATTCTCTTTACTGGGGCAAAATATTGTGAATCCCTTTCCATCTACCGTGACTTATTTGTGTCAAGTAAATACTCTAAATATGAGAACAAGTGGCCATGTCTCACTTCTCATTGCTTCAGGAGAAATGGCAACTCCTTATAGTACCAATAAGTTTCCACATTACCCTTGGTTCTTTTTGTCACCCATTTTTTGCTATATAAGACACCTGATGTAATGCAAAAGAGGATAATGTATTATTTTGGAATAAACTTTGAAGCATATTGCTCCCTAAATTTCTCTGTATTCTCTTATACCCATCTCTCCTTACATTTCTCAACTCTTTTCCCTCTCCCTTTCCCACACATTTGTTAATTTCTCTCTTCCCCTTCTAGTCTCTTCTCTTTAGACCTTGAAGATTTTTCCAGAATAGAGTGCACCTTTATTGCTAGCGGATGTGTAATTGTGAAACTTATCTTTATATCACTTCTACATAAAAGTTTTATCTCCCCATTGACAATAAGAAAGGAGGTCGTTGCAGAGAGATAATCCCTAATCTAGTTCCTTCAACCCAAAACCTTTTGTAAGCATAACCTTATCCCAGAACCCTCATAGTAACCTATCAAAGGCCTTCAAGGTCCAACATCGACACCAAGCCCTTACCTTTTAATCATTTAACATCCTTACCCGCTCCATTGCCTGAGAGAAGCATCAATAATTTTCCTTATCACAAGAGCAATATGATTTTCCTTATCTCAAGGGCATAACTTTGATATAATTTTATAAATACTTGTTACCAGACATGTGGGATTATAGTCAGTAACTTTAATGTACCTATCATTTTTTGGCAACTCAAGTGAAGGTGGAAGTCATCGGAACCAATATCTAAGCTAATGTTAGAAAGAATTCAGAAGCTACAATCTTTATCAGTTCATCGATTGTAAAATCTTAATCATTGTACCCATCCTCCCACTTCTGTATGGTGCAGGCTGTTTAGATAATTCCCGCTCCTCTTTATCACAAGTCCATAGTAAGGAAGTTGACCTTGATGCCAATTTTTAGTTAAAGAAATGAAGACCCTCCCACCCCTCCAGCCAAAAAAAAAAAAAAGAAGGCCAACACCACCTGACATGTGCATACCATATGACTTAAGAAAATTTGGTTCCATTTGCATTTAGTTGAACAATTTGATACCTGAGAATTATGACGATGATCTTCTACACCCTCACCTCCTGCAGTGGCTAACTCTAAAACAGTAAGCATAATTGCAAAGCATCAACAAGAAAACAATGGAAAAAGAGTTATATGATAGTAATGAACACTAACGATCATTTATGCCAGCCAGAGCCAACAATCTGGCAGCCATTTCTCTTTCTTCAGCTTCCTGCAGGGCTCTTGCATAGGCTTCGTCACTGGAATAAACACCGGGGTCAACTTCAGCAGTGGCACTATCATTCTCTTCAATACTGTTGTCAGCATTCACATCAAATGCATCTTCCTCATCATCCAAATCAGTGCCATCATATTCATCATCCTCATCTTCATCCCTATCAGTATCATCATTGGGATCATCAAATTCATCCTCCTCGTCATGCAAATAGCTTCCCCCTTCCCAACTTCCATAATCACTCCCATCATGGTTCATCCTCAGCATCATGTAAGCCCTCTCCTAATTATAAATGAATCAAACTCCCAAATAAAACAACAAGTTGAATATTGCAGAACCAAACATGCTCCTGATTATAAATGAATAAAACTCCCAATAAAACAACAGACTGAATATTGCAGAACCAAATATAAAAAAAAAAAAAAAAAAAAAAACATCAAGAAACTTCAAACATTAGTTCTAGGTGCATAACATTATTCCACACATGGTTTCACCAATTCCAAAAAATTTCAGGTTTACACTACTTGAAATCTCATACCTAATGTTAAGGTTTCCAAAGTAAGAAGGCGCCAACACAAGGGTCTTAAATTCAGCGTTCAAAAAAGTGTGTCCAGTACTTGACAAAGTTAGAATAATAACTAAATAATAAAAAGATTTTCCCAGTTTTACATAGGAATTGTTAATTGGCATGAACTAGTCGAGGGTGCATAAGTTCGAAAGTCGGGGGAAAAAAAAAAATAAACTGAGAAAACTATTTCACCCATACAACTCTCCAACCAAACAAAATGTGATAAAACTTCGAACTTCATCTCCCATATCCTCGCTCAGGAGGAAATGAAAAAGGAAAAGATTGCATAAAGTGTTAATTGGAAATTATGCCAAGAAGCAAGTTAGAAATCTCGAATATTAAATCGCAAAAAAAAACCCCTAAAATCAAAATCAACACGCATACAAAGAAAGAGAAAGGAGTGATAACCTGTTCTTGAAGGGTACGGGCAAGAGCTAGGTCAGCGTCGATTTGGCTGAGATTAGTGAAAGGAGTTCTTGAGGAGGAACGATTAGGCTGGTCCAAGTTGGATCGAGTTTCCGCCTCCTCTTCCTCCTCGTCGCCTTGGGTTACCGTTTCAGAGTTGAAATCGTTAGGGTTGTCTACTTGTTCTCGTCTATGAGCGTCCTCCTCGTTGTTGTTGGCGGCCATTTTTCCATCTTCTTGTGAAGGTTGCTTGGTGCCGAGGTTATCATTGTTGTGGGTGTTGTTCTCCATCAGCTTGAATCAAAATATTTCTTGATTTTGAGTCAAGCAAAGATTATTACTTGCGAGTGTCCTGAAAATGAAAAGATAAAAACAAAAGAGATCCGCAAGCTCGATACGAATCAAAAATAATTCAAGAATCCACAAAGGAACAGAGGTAGCATATGAATGATTAGAGGGAGAGGGGGGAGAAGGATATGTAAGTATATGGGTGTGTGTATGTATCGAGAGAGAGAGAGAGAGAGGGACGTGAAAATTATGGGTGGGGCGGTTTGAGTTTGATAGAATACTATCGGTAACGTTAAAAAGATTCCCGAGAAAGTATACGAGGAAATTAATTTTTAAAAAATTAAGAAGAATTATTTTTTTGTTTAAATTTTTTTATTTTTGGAAATATTTTTAATTAGTTATTATTTCTTGAAAAAAATTTAACCTTGTTAGTCTTTGTATATATAGCCTGGGACGTGTTTTTTTTTTTTTTTTTTTTTTTTGGTCTACGGTATCTCATATAAAATTTAAATGACATTTACGTGCAATTCACGAAAAACATTATGTTTCCTTAAATGTCTTGTTTTTTTTTCTTCGTCCTCCATCTTTGAATTTCAACCCAAGTTCATTCTTTGTTGCTATTCTACTCATCCATAGTCTTCTCTACGCTTTTCTCTGTAACTCATGGATCTTTTCCTTTCCAAATCCTCACAACTCCTTCCTTCTCCTTCTCAAATTGTCCCTTTTCGGAATCGTCTCCCCAG